ACGATGTAAACTGAAAAAGCCATACGTACAAGGGCCATAACTTAAAAATTAACATTTTTAAGTTATGGCTCTTGTACGTATGGCTCTTATACGTGGTAGAGCCATGCTGTAACTATATTATGGTTGTAGCACGAATGGGTCGGCTCGACCGGGGAAGGACCACGGGGAAGGAACACTGCTGTGTTTCGTATAGTAAGTGTAGAGAACCGGAGACCCTTTTTACTGGAAACGAGGCATTCCATCTTAGTCCTCACGGGTGACAACGCATCTGCATTTCGATTCATAATCGAAGATAGATGTTGATGTCTATGGGCCACAGCAACCACATACCCTCAGGTGGACTGTGTGCTCGTTTGTCACCCTTATCCTATAAAAAATAGGTTTTTATTCACTAGTCCTGTATTTAAAACGAATGAATGTAATGAATGTAGCTGCAGCATGGCTCTACCACGTTTTTTTACGTGGTAGAGCCATGCTGCGGCTATATTAGGAATATAGTTGTAGCACGAATGGTTCGGCTTGACCGGGGAAGGACCACGCTCTCACAGAAAACCAGCGTAATATAGCAGCTAAACGCTGCTGTGTTTCGTATGGTGAGTGTAGAAAACCGGAGACCCCTTTTACTGGCAAAGAGGCATTCCATCTTAGTCCTCACGGGTGACAACGCATCTGCATCTTGAGTCTTTATTGAGGATAGATGTAGATGTCTATGGGTCACAGTAACCACTTACCATCAGGTGGACTGTGTGATCGTTTGTCACCCTATCCTATAAAAAAAAGTGAAAAGTGTGGTTTGGTGTTGTGAGCAGGATTAAGAAAGAAATGCTTTGGTGGTTTGGACACGTGGAAAGAATGAATGAGGAAAGAGTGGCAAAGCAAATTTATGTTGCAGGAGTGAGTGGTAGAGTCCGCAAGGAATAGCCTGTTTATTATATTTATCAGCTAGTTTATTATATTTATGACTAGCGACTTCGTCCGCGTTGCTTGATATATCAATGAAACATATATCACTGAACACGTAGTGCCTATAAAAATCGTTGTTACTTAAAACTTTAATAACTTTATATTAAACTATCTGTCCCTCGCAACTTCACCCGCATGGAATTTTCTACGATTTCATGGGTTTTAATGTTATTGCGAGGAACCCTAATTATTTTTCTAAAATAAAAGTAGCCCAAGTTACTCCTTATGACATCTGCTATCTGCAAGTGAAAGTTCCGTTAAAATCGGCGCAGCCATTTCGGAGATTAGCCAGAACAAACAGACAGACAGAGAGACAGACAGAAAGACAGACAGAAAGAGACAGACAAAAATATTAAAAATTGTGTTTTTGTATATTTACCGTTTCTAATCTCATATGCATTTAGTAAAAAACTGTTATTTTGTCATTACAAACAAACACTTCAATTTTATTTATTTGTATAACTTAATTATTATTTAAATTATATTTATAGTATAACTGTTGTTTCTACTTAGAAGCTCATGCTCTACATACCTTAATATTTGGTCCTTACATATGAAATTGGCGTTTTGTACGGGAGGAATATAAAGTCAAACTTTTTTGTAAAATATATTTAATTAATCAAAGTATGCACCGTTGTTATTTATGCACTTTTGCCATCTCATAGGTAGTTCATTGATCACTTTACTAAAAGAAACCATGGGGGCGAGAATCAATAAACTCTTTGAAGGCGGTTTGGGCTGCCGCATCGGAGTTGAATTTTTTTCCTTGTAAGAAGTTGTCCAAATTCCGGAAAAAATGGTAATCTGTTGGAGCAAGGTCCTGGGAGTACGGTGGATGTCGCAGACATTCCAATCGTAGCTCATCTAACTTAGTAGTTGTTTGTTGTGCAGTGTGTGGTCTTGTGTTGTCGTGAAGCAGCAGTGGCCTAGAGAGATTGACCAATATCGGTTGTTTAGCAGCTACTTCTTCCTTCATGGTTTGCAGTTGCTGACAATAATAGATATCTGCCGTAATCGTTTGGCCAGATTTTAGAAAGCTGTAGTGAACGACTCCGCTGCTAGTCCACCAAACACTCACAAGTAACTTTTTCTGAGTAAATTTTCGTTTAGGGCAGGATTCGGCTGGGTCTCCAGGGTTCAGCCATTGCGACGAGCGCTTCCGATTATCGTACAGTATCCGCTTTTCATCACAAGTAATGATTCGATTTAAATTCCCTTCATTATTGTGTCGGTTGAGCAAAGTTGCAAGTGCGATTCACTCAATTCATGAGGTACCCATCGTTCAAGTTTTTTTTACTTTCCCGATCTGCTTCAAGTGGATTAATACAGTTTTATCACTTACCCCGAAGCGTGCAACTATCGCTGAAGTGTTTTGTGATGGATCCGCTTCCACAATGCCTTTAATTCTTCATTTTCCACTTTGGTCTCTGGCCGTCCACGGGGTTGGTTCTGAAGGTCGAAATATCCAGAACGAAAACGTTGAAACCAAAAACGCACCATGCTTTCTTTTGCGACACCAGCGCCGTACACATCATTAATCCTTCGAGCTGTTTCTGCAGCACTGGTGCCACGGTAGAACTCGTACTCGTAAATATACCGTTATTTCATGTTTTCCATTGTGCGGTAATAAGTGACGCCAAAGAAAAAAATAACCAGGAATAAACAAATGAATGACTGTTTTCAAAACTCAAATGTACTCGTACCAGCTAAATTAATTTATAAATTTGAATTTGGAATTCTTAAGCAAAGAGGAGATATTTCAGATCAAAACGTCAGTACGACAAAACGCAAATTTCATGTAAGGACCTAATATATTAAAGAGTTAGTATGGTTATTAGTTTGGTAGTGTAAATACCTATTTTTAGACAACTTTGTCGCCGTAGATACACAACAAAGTTCCCAACAAAAAAAACGTTACCTCCTCACTGGGATTTTCTCCTGTACCATGGGGGGCAGTTTATATACGTAAATTTCACAAGGATAAACATCCAGACCCGGAACAATTCTAAGCGTTTCATAATGCAACCGTCTTTAAATATATACTATCCAAAGCTTCGTTGGTCTAGTGGTTGTAAACGTGACTGCTAGTCATGAGATACTGGGTTCAAATCCCGGGTCGGGCTAAAAAAACAGTTGTTGACTTGAAGTTGACGATGTCTCACCTCCGTGCCTCGGAAGTACGTAAAGCCGTTGGTCCTCTGCCTGATCTCTCTCCGGTCGTGTCGGCTTACCGTACCATCGGACTATGAGAGTGAGGGAATAGTGAGTGCGCTTATGGTTGGGTACTATAATCCTATAATTAATAGAATCAGGCGTTACTTTGCGGAAATCCATTATGTAAAAGCTTTTAGAAAAATTTATGATGTGTCTTACCTAGTATGAAGAGCACCTCCCGCCCTCCCTCAATTGCGTGAACTATCCCCGTCACCACTAATCCCAGCACCGCTACTCCCAACACCACTACACTAGGCAAGACACACCACTGACGATAATACGACACGTGTTTCGCCTCTACACAAGGCATCCTCAGGTGATATAGACTCTACGGTGGCTAACCGCTAAGGTCTTACGGGAGTAGCGGTGCTGGGATTAGTGGTGACGGGGATAGTGCACGCAATTGAGGGAGGGCGGGAGGTGCTTTTCATACTAGGTAAGACACATCATTTTATTTTATAACGCGGATATTTGCGAAGTAAATTTTTCTAAAAGCTTTTACTATAATCCTGTCCTGCACCGATAGCTAGTCTCCGTTAAGGATCGCCGCCGTGACCGAACTTCGGTCTGGAGGACATTATATTTACTATCGAAACGGTATGTAATATTTATGTATGACGTACACTACCTGCCTAATCTGTGTCGTCTACCTAGTGTGTCTGTTTTTAATTAGTTTAAAAATATTTTTATGAATATAAAAGTTACGTCCATTCTTCATTTGACTGCATATCTAATTTTGACGGTCAATATAAATTAGACGCTTTATCCCTCTCTTCCTTTATATAATTTTGCTAATTATTTTATTAGTTAACGTAGAAAATTCGAACAGTTCAGTTTTATCCCAGCATCACAGCAATGAGATTGAGTCTGACTTATTTCATTATACTAAGTTTCGTGGCTGTATTAGGTGAGTTTTTTACTTGTTATTTATTTATTATGTTTAATTTTATTAACTATCTAATCTCTATTGCCGGCAACACTTCAATTTTTTTAAGTCGATTAAACAAGTTCTCAGCAGTTAAAAATTGCAAAAAAAATATATGATAGATAGAATGATAAGTTGATAAAACATGCAAGGGGTCGTTGGATGCAGGTGAAGACGATGTACATACAAATAGAAGCATATTATGAGAACCAGTAGTCTGCCAATACAACTGATGTAGCACGACGGTCTCTTCTAAATCCATTGCCTTTGGAAAAAGATTGTTTACTCAACAAAACCGAAGATCTTTTCACTAATAACGGGGCATTAAACGTTGTCATAAGCTTGAAATTAAATCTGCGTTTTGATTCTCTCATTAATTCGGGAGTATATGTGATTGTAAATGGACCACAGCATCCACCTACCATCAGGTGGACTGTATTATTTAATGTGCGTAAAATAAAATAATAATAAAAGAGTGACAAACCCCAAAACTCTAGAGAAATAAACATAATTGTATAAAATATATTTAAAAACATGCTGTTATAGACGTGACTAGGGCCAACATCCGAGTCCATCATCAAATTGGCTTCATATTATTGCAGCGTCATCGAAGTTACATAAGGATGCTAAATTTCAGTTCAATCAGATGTCAGGAAGTGCTTCAAAATTAATTAAATATTTTGAACCGGAACGACATATAAAGAGTGTTAGTTAAATACGAGTAAAACTTGTTAAAATTCTGGCAATGCCTCGGACGACTCGTCTAGATAGTAGTATAATGATAAAATAACATGCTTTCTCCCAAACGCAGCGAATGAGCCAGGCGTCTCAACTTCATGTAGCCTTATAACCAGGAGTGGGCAATTTTACAAAACAATAACTTTTGTGTCGATTTTAGATGGCACTCAATTCCGCTGTGACTACAGATTATTTTCGGAAGCAGGAGGATGGCTAAAGTTTCATCGTATGCCAGCAAACTGGTTCGACGCACGGCTGAGATGTCACCTCGAAGGTATAGTCAGTTCCTATAAACTCCGGCACTATAATATCTACTTATGAAAAAATATCAAACCAGTCAAACTCAAAATTAATTTTGAACTTTCTTTATTTTAAAAACACCTTCCCCGAGTCGACCCATTCGTGCTACAACCACAATGTAGCTGTAGCATGGCTCTACAGGTACACCATATTAATATTAACAACAGTTTTTAATGACATGACAAACCTCAAGTAGGGCCAGATAAAATATGATTTCCTATTTTGGCGAAGAAGTTTAGCATGAATGTACGCAGAATTCCGTCTGTTCCTGCGTACATTAATGCTCAACTTCTTGACACATACTCACGCACACATCTTTCTCATTTATTTCTTTACTAGCCCGAAAATGTCTTGTATTGCTGCAGGCTGGGTCGTTTCAGGCGTGTTGGCGAACGCAGCTTTTTGTTATCTGCCGACTTCCAAAAAGGAGACGGCACTCAATTCGACTGTATCGTTTTTTTATGTGTGTTACCTCATAACTTTTTACTGGGTGAACCGATTTCGATGATTCTTTTTTTATTTGGAAGCTGGTACTACTCGTGTGGTTCCATATGAATTAGGTCAGATTAATAGTTTTTGAATTATTGTTAATAACTTATATTGAAGTTGGCAGTACAAAATTTTTAATTTTAAATTATTATTTTCATCTTACAACGGGGCGACTCTGCTGCCCTTCTTCTGTTTTAGTTTCCTTCTGTCGTGTCTTACGACACCTCATAGAATATTTGGTATAGATTTTACTTTTTCGCCGGCACTAGTTGTAAAGGCTTACACCTTACTTGGTAGAGCCATGCTGCAGCTATATAATGGTAGTACAAATGGGTCGGCTCGATTGAGGAAGGACCGCGTTCTCACAGAATACCAGCCTACAATAGCAGTCTAATGCTGCCTTGTTTCGTATGTAAGTGTAGAGAACTGGATACTTTTTACTGAAAACCAGGCATTCCATCTTAGTGCTCAGGGGTGACAACGCATCTGAATTTTGATTTTTATTAGAGGATAGATGTAGACAGTCTATTGGTCATACCGTCCACATACCATCAGATGGATTGTGTGCTCGTTTGTCACCTTTATACTAAAAAAATGCCTTATTAATACCGACTTTGTGGTCGAGTAACTAGTATTATTAACTTGTGTTCGTTCCTTGTGTCTATATTATTATTTTATCATAAGGAATATAATGAAATAAAAAAATGCATGATTGTCGTGGAACACTCGGTTGGAACGAAGTTCCTTGCATAGTATATTGTTATTGATAAACGTAGGTATTATATTATTGATTAACAAATACAAATAAATGAATTACTAGCGTCTATTAAAATGAAACGTCATTTGAAATAAAATAATATTTCTTTTACGGCAAGATAAGAAAAAGTGCGAGGGTGATGAATATTATTCCATCTCACTTCCTTATTTCGCCGCCAAGGCCGTCTACACTATGACACAGGGGGTAGTGACGAAAAAATCTTACACTTTTTGTAGCCTAGCTCCCATCCGTCAAACCCGTACCGTCCGATAAGGAACTTCGTTCCAAAAACAAATATTAAATATTTTTGTGCAGAAAGGAATTTAGAAAATTACAGTTATCCACAACTTACATAATTTGGTACATTCATGAGTGCGGAATTCTACAATCCTACAATAAAAACTAATACACAAATATTTTAAGCTAAGTGCGCTTGAAATTAATCAAACAAAACTTTATAAGATTAAAATGTTCATCATCATCACCACAGCCTTATAAAATTTCAATGCTGAACATAGGTCTCATCCATAGATTGTCTCATAAGTAACCGTCACTACACGTTAGAGATTACATAATTAAAGTAGAAATAAGTTAACAAGATGGTATCAAAATTATACATATATTACATGCAAGAATATCTAATTGTAGTCGTGACGTTAGAGAATCTAATCTACTACCTCGTATCATCCCTTGGGTGTCGTAAAACGGAAATGAAACAGAAGATGGGCAGTAGCATCAACCTGATATCAACACAAAACAATAAACAGTCTGCGGTTGTCAACTCACCTACCAAGTGTGACTATTATGACAGATATCCCTTTGAGGCCATCTATGGGGGAGTCCTATGTTCAGCAGCGAAGATTTGATAGGCTGAATGTATAAAATGTAGATCATAAATCAATTCTAAAACTTAAACGCTTTGACTGTAACTGTACAATATTGTTTGACGATGATAGTTTATTTTTAATTATTAGAATGTAATATTGTTCTAACCAGAATTAAAATTGTGACGACTTTTTTTTTAACTTAAATAGTCTTTCAGTGTGTAGATGTTGGTCCTCCGAGCCAGATAAATATTATTTTAAATGTACGATTGTATGATAAACGATATGTATGATTTCTTCAATGTACATTCGTTAAATTATCATTGTCATCATATTAATACAACTTGGTCACCAACTTCAGGAGGTCAGTTAGCGTCACCATCGACACAGGGCCTCATAAATGCAATGAAACTCCTCATCGGCGAAGCAACTGGTGACATGAGTTGCGGAGTTTTCACCGGGGTACATGCTACTTTTTCAAGAGGAGATTTCCATACTATAGAAGGTAATGCAAATGTTAAAGTTGGTAAAAATTATCTTGCGTACATCCGCTCGATAAAATAAAATTATGTGTCTCAACTATACTCTATTCCAATTACGAAGTCCCATTTGACAGATGTCAATAATCAAGTACTAGTAAAGTACCGCTATAGTCGATACTTGACGATATTGATCTTCGATTACAATAACGAACAAATTAAAATCGTATTGACAGAAAAAGGATTAGCATCAAATTAAAATTTATAAAACAGTTTTTTAATTTTAATTAGATAATATTACATGATATTTTTATCAAGATGGAACACATTCATCATCACTAGCCGAAATCGATATTTCATGGTCGGCATCGTCGTCATCACCCTCATCATCGTCTGTAGAATCCCCTGTATTTATTATAATTTGGTTATCTATGACGGCATCGATATGTATGTCTCTGTCCCAATCAGCAAAAATCAAATTTTTTGTTCGTAAAACCACACTTTCCCAATACGCGGCAGTAACACTATCACAAGCTTCTTGCAACAATGACAGCATTTGTTTGCAGTAAACGGTGGGCTGGTATTTTTACGAGCCGCATAACCTAAAATAAAGGTTTGCGTGTTAATATAACAACAGATAAAATGTTAAAATATGTAAATATAAATTATAAAAAAGGTTTGTTTAAATTCTTGCCTTTAATTTGCGCCCAAATCAATTCTATGGCATTGTATTGACAATGGTAGGGTGGAAGGCGCATTACATTGTGTCCGGCTTCCTTAGCCATTTCGTCCAATACGTATTTTGGTCTAGCTGGCTTATTTATAGCAACCAAATGCAGCAGCTCAACTTTTAACATGGACATGTCAGCAACAATATTATTGTCATTCAGCCATTTCACAATATCGGCTTTTTTGCTGCTAGAAGTTGGAGGCTTACTTATTTGTTCTGAATGATACGGAGCATTATTGGTACGGGGATAGTCATGATATAGTATTATTTGCTGATGATACTTCCTTGATTTTTAAACTTAAACGTCAATCATTTAAATGTGACGAAGTGAATAATGCTATATCAAAATTAGTGCATTGGTTTAACGTTAATAATCTGCATTTGAACGGAAATAAAACTAATTGTGTTAAATTTACAACAACGAATGTTCAAAATCTGAATACCAATGTGTTTTTAAATGGGGAGGAATTGAGCCCTGTTGTATCCACTGTTTTTCTTGGCATCACTCTTGACGCAAAGCTCCAGTGGGGCCCCCATATATCCAAATTAGCAAGCAGACTAAGTTCTGCAGCCTATGCTGTAAAAAAGATTAGAGGTCTCACTAGTGTCGAGACAGCTAGATTAGTTTATTTTAGTTATTTTCATAGCATAATGTCTTATGGGATTTTGCTATGGGGAAATGCGGCTGATTCAGAAACTATTTTTGTTTTACAGAAGAGGGCCATTAGAGCTATTTACAATCTAAAACCGAGAGAGTCTCTTAGAGATAAATTTAAAGAAATTAATATATTAACTTTGGCCTCTCAGTATATTTACGAAAATTTAATGTATGTTCACAAAAACAAAGATAGTTTTAGTAAAAGAAGTGATATACATTCTGTAAACACTAGGAACAAACACAAGCTAGTGATACCAGTTTCTCGACTCCACAGAGTCAGTTATTCATTCTTGGGGCAATGTATACGCTATTACAACTAGGTCCCGGAAAGTGTACAGGTTCTCTCTATTACCAAGTTTAAATGTTTTATTAAGCTGAAACTGTATAAAAAGGGTTATTATAGTATAAATGAATACATGGTTGATAATAACCCCTGGGAATGAAGTGATCGCTTCCAAGCAGTTTCTAAAATAAATTTTGTAAATAGTTCGTAATCATTTATATTGTAAAATTTATTTTAAAAAAAAGTCCCGCTGGGTTTCTTGCTGGTTCTTCCCAGGACAGAGGGTTTTTTTCGAACCAGTGGTAAAGTAAAAAATGACTTTCAATAAGAATTACACATGTAATGTATATTGAATAAAAAATATTCTATTCTATTCTATTCTATTATCCCTAATGATCGTCGATTGCTTATTCAAGTTGGTCAATAAGGTACAAAACCATTCCTTAAATTTAACAAAATTCATCTTTTCGTGGTATTCCACAGTTTTCTTAGATTTAAACGCCAAGAGGCAGCTCGGAACAAATCCCTTCATGGAACCCGCATGACAAATAATTAAGCGTTCGCCTTTGCCACTAGGTACTTTTGTGGAGGAGTGAGGAGTGTTGTCTGTCCATATCTTGCCAACTGTATGATTAGCGTTTAGCCACGTCTCATCTAGAAATATAACATTATTTCAAACGGCAATGAACTTTGCTGATCTTAGAAAATTAAATCTGGCTAAAGCTATATCTCTACGTTCCATCAAAATCCGCCTTTTATCACATTTTTTATAAGGAAAGCCAACATTTTTTAAAACCCTCCAGAAAGAAGTTCTACTGCCGTAAAACAGTCCAGATTCTCGTAAAGTATTTGACACTTTATCGAGAGTCGGCAATTCGTTCCTACTATAGTAGGCATAGATATGGTTTCTAATGGCGTCGTTATCAAAATTGTCGATATGTGTAACTATCGATCTTCTAATTTTTTCTTAAATGGCGATTTTAATTTGTTATCTTCCATTAAATCTTTACCATGTTTTTCCTTACTTATTCGGGAAACAGTTTTTCGACTAATACCAAGAGCTGCACTTACTCGGTTAGTCACTTGTGAAAGTGGCAACAATGGACCACCATTCTGATACTCTCTTTCAAAGTAATCTTGTAGGCGTACTACAATCTCTCGCACTTGACTGCGAATCACTGTTCTTTTAGTGGTCTCAGTTTCGGCCATAGTGTTTATAAATACAAAAAAAAAAACAAATCAAATAACAGTCAAAACTTAATAACAACGAAAGAATTATCAAACAGTTATAACTACAATAACAAGAACGAAATAAAAACATAACACAAAATCAACTAAACTGAACACGCGTATCGTATACAAGGCTTCTGCACTCGTACTGAAGAGACAAACAAAATGGCGGTCGTGATCACGAGGTGGACGCAGTGTTGACAGATTTTCACTCGCGAAAAGAATCTGTCTATAATCGATTTTAAACGATTCTTTTAGTTACGTCACTATGTAAAAAAGTATAAATAAAACTATAGAACGTAAACGCAAAACGGCAGTAAAATATTATTATCTTTTAAAGTTTTAATTATTTTGAGCAAGATGTCTAAAAACAATATGTTGATTGTGTGTGTGAATTAATTGTATAATGATTTACATTGATTGTGTATTTTTAAATGATGATTTACGACCATGAACAAAAATGATTATTATTTCAAATTATGCGAAACGTGAAGAGTTACGTTCTAAGAAGTGTCAAAAGGGACTTCGTAATTGGAATAGAGTATAGTTTAAAGAGCACCTTCCGCCCTCCCTCAATTGCTTGCTCTATCCCCGTCGATACTAATCCCAGCACCACTAATCCCAACACCACTACACTAGGAAAGACCCACCACCGTCGATAATACGACACGTGTTTCGCCTCTGCACGAGGCATCTTCAGGTGATGTAGACTCTGAGGTAGCTAACAGCTAAGTGAGTGGCGAGCCAAAACAACGGCTATTTATACAGCTCGCTGACGCAACCGCTCTCTACTTAAGTAGCGAGCGACTGCGTCATTCGATAAAACGTGCGACCAATCACCACCTGACGTATTCCATATGTACGTATGACATATGTTTGTAGCGTCCAAAGCATTTATAATTAATAATAAAAGATGACTGCTGTTATAACGACAGTGTTCAAGCAAGAGCTCGTGCATATTTCAATCCGTTGTTACACCTCAATGAGAGGTAAATGAAGGATAGATATCGGCTTTTACAAGAAAGTATTCAAGTTTTTTGTGGAAATAATGTTTAATAAATCTAAGGTCTACCATCTCCATGCAATAATTAGGGTAATATCACATATTTCCGCTGTATTTTTATTAAAACTCGAAAGGAGATCGAAAATTAAGCATCTATTGTACCCATTTAAAGTTTTGACTATTTTTATCAGAACCATAATTGTTTCAATACTTGAAATAGATGATAGGTTTGGCTATTAGATCTTGATTTGTATTCTAAATTAATTGAATATTAAAGGAAGTCGGAAGCACTTTATTCCGATGTAAAAATCCTTAATCTGATGTATTTGGTTTCGAATTCCGAGCATACAAAATGCAAAGGAAAAAGGCAAAAAGAATAAACATGGTGTTCATTATCCTACAACCAAAATTATTAAAATTTAAAAAATTGGAATAATTATCCTCTTGGGTATAGACCTGACAAGTTACTTTTACTTTTTATAACCCAATTAATTAATTTATTATTATTATATATTTTCCATTAATAACAAAATACATTGTGTTGGAAATTACAAGTTAATTCAATAAGGTTTAAAAAATAACATTATCATTTATGCAATACTCAATCAATTATCCACATCAAAATAATAGAATACAATAATAGGACATAATATAATTACAATAAAGAAATATGTCAAAATATAAAATTACAATACAGAAATATGTCAAATTAATAAGACTATAAAAAGAAATATGTCAGTTTTTCAACTATATTTTATCATCAGTCAATTAGAATTTACATATTCTTCCACACTATAAAAATTATTTTCCAGAAGATACGACCTCAATCTGCTTTTAAATTGGATCACAGTTGATATGCATTTTAAATAATTTGGCAATTTATTAAATACTCTGACCGCTTGATATCTGGCACAATGTTTAATTATTTGTAGGTTAGGCTGTATGAGGTTCACAATATCTTTTCGCCTAGTGTCATGACGCTTTACCCTTTCTTCTGCGCTTTCATATCTATCTAAATTTTTAACAAGGTCTGTAAGAAGAACTAGAATGTACAGACATGGTGCAGTAAGTATTTTTAGGTTTCGCATGTATTCTCGGCACGACTGTCTTTGGGGTATGCGCACCATTATTCTTATTGCTCTCTTTTGTATAATAAATGCCTTTTTAAGATTGTAATCATAACTATTTCCTCAAAATTTAATACTATATCTTAGACGAGATTCTACTAGAGCATAATATACCATTTTTAATTGCTTTATTGTTAGCTCCTCTCTTAAGCTTCGTAATGCATAACATGAAAATGATATATTTTTTTCTATAAAATTTACTTCTTGTTTCCAATTAAGAAGAGAATCTATATGGATACCCAAAAATTTTACGGAATCTACAGTGGATATACATTCATCATTTAATTTAATAACTAAGGTGTCTCTTGCTCTTGTAGTAGATTTAAAAAGGATAGCTTTGGTTTTTACGGGGTTTAGTTTAAGGTTATTTGCATTAAACCACTGAGCAAAAGCTTCTAAAACGCAGTTAACTTTGTTATTGAGATCAAAATATTTTGTGCACTTATCACCGCATTCGTATCATCAGCAAATACTACAAGTTCAGTGTTTGGTATAGAGTTGTACATAAATGGAATTAAATCATTTGTAAATATTATGAACAGAACGGGTCCTAAGATTGAACCTTGGGGAACACCTCTTTTAATTTTATTTAGTTTTGATTTAAATATTTTCTCTTTTTCATAATTTGTATACTTGATCTCAACGTATTGATATCTGTTACGTAAGTATGACTTGAAAAGCTCCCAAACCTTTCCTTGTACACCATAATGCTGTAACTTTTTAATTAAAATTTGGTGATCCACCATGTCAAAAGTTAAACTCAAATCTAGAAAGAGGCCTGCAACCTTTTTCTTCTTATTTAAATTTGTCACAACATCGTCAATTAATACTTCTATTGCGTTATTTGTTCCAATATTAGTCTGATATGCAAATTGCCGTTTATTTAGTATGTTGTTTTCATATAGATGTTTAATTAGTCTTGTCTTTATTAATTTTTCAAAAATTTTTGAAAGAATTGGCAGTAAGGAAATAGGTCTATAGTTATTCGAGTCTGTTCTGGTCCCTTTTTTATATACAGGCAAAATTTTTGCAATTTTAAATTGGTCAGGGAAGACACTCTGCTCATAACACTCATTGTAGAACATAGCAAGAGCACTAGCCCATAAGTCAATATTTCTTTTAAAAATCGATATTGGGATATCGTCCCAGCCACACGATTTTTTGTCTTCCATTTTTCTTACTATTTTAGTAATTTCTGTGGATGTGATTTGTTCCCAAATCATGATCTTTGAACAAGTATGAATATTCTGTTCAAGAAATTTCATCGAGGCGCTCAAACTACCTGTGGAGGGAGAATTGCCATGATTGAATTTTTCTGAAAAAATATCTACTATTAATTGAGGATTGTCAATGTATAAGCCGTTTTCCTTTAATGTTATTTTATCTTTATTCATACCAGAGACTTGCTTTCTATGTTTGTTTACTGCTCTCCATATTGCTTTAGCCGAGTTCTTCGATAGCTCTATTGTAGACTGAACTGCGTGTTTTTTGGCGGCTCGTATTACCTTTCTAAAAATTCGAACGTAATTATTTTTGTAGTTTACAATAGTACTATCGGTAACAGAACGATGTGCCGAGTTAAGAAAGCGTTTCATTTTGCTGGATGTCTTAATTCCCCTTGTAACCCACTTAAGAGACTGTTTACTACTGGTTTTAACTTTTTTGGTCGTTTTTCTGTAACTTTGTGCATAAATTCCATTTAGATGTCTCAGAAAGCTATTTATACCATACCGATTCCAATCATGCTTTAGAACGTGTTCTCTAAAAATGGTATTGTTCGTCTCGTTAAACACTCTTATTTCCTTCAATATGACTGTGTGATCTTTATTTTTCTGACTTCGGGATTGAAGAGAAACATTGCAAACAATTGCTGCATGCCCGTCTGAAATACCATTGTGATCCACTTTTGTATCATTAATACAAACATCGGGGAGATTCGTAATGAAGTTGTCTAAACAAGATTGTGCACTACCCTTGTGATTTTGAAGTATTCAAGGTTTCTAAATATAAATCCAATTCATCCTTTTTTGTTCTTAAACCACACACATTTTGATGATATATAGAGATATTACATGGCTCCTTCTTTTTCGTCCCTATCCATTAAACTACAATTTGAATCAATATTTTCTAGCTGGTCTACATGAGTATACTGATTATCTCTAAACAAGGTATTTTCTCTACAAGACAAAATACTAATAGGTTTATGTTGCTTTGAAACGAAAAAAGTTTTTATTCAAATTTTCAAAGATGTTTATGATTCCCATATTATTAATTTTTCCCGTCATCTTAGAAAACATATTTAAAGACAATTTTAAATTTGAATCGAAACAGTGAACATTTCTAAGAGACTGTAAGCTATAACTAAGAAGATTGTTGAATACCTCCAATTAATTGGTGTTGTTGACCAATTTTGATTATCTTTCACAAAACATACAGCGAGAGCGAATTTTCCAGAAGTATTATCTTTGCACTATTATGTAGGTATATGAAAATTTGTGGGGATATACGGATTGATTGCATAATAAGCATCTATCCTCATTATCAATATAAACATTTCATACTTATGAAATAAAATACTATTATTATATATATATATATATATATATATATATATATATATATATATATATATATATATATATATATATATATATATAATATACTTAGCTAATTAATTTTATAGTATAAACAATATGTGTCTCTTAAGCAGGATATTGTGTAAAATGACATAATGTAGTTGTGATTTATTATCCATAAATGTTTACAAATACGTACGTGAAAATTATTACAAAGGTAATAGGAACCTACGCGTTATTGAAATTAAGGAAAAGTACATATTACGCTGCGTAAAATTGTGGAGGCTCTGTATTTTGTATGTGTATATGCCGCGAAATAAAGTGCTTATAGAACCTTATCCCGATCTAATGTACATCGGAATAGCGTTTCATACCAAAAATCTCGTTTCCTAAGTCGAGTATTAAAAAATGTAAGATTTTTGCATAATTTATATAAAGATATATACTTAATTGCAAAATAGTTTTAAATATAATATAACATTTGCTAAAAATTACATCGAATTTTATATGAACTACAATTTTCCTTTTAGCTTTCTCATACAATGAGTTAACAAAATACCTAAATAGTAGATCACCTCGGAAATAGATTTTAGTATTCCTTGTCAAATTATCACACCCAAGGTCGGAAAAACCTAGTCATAGAAACAACTCTAAAAATTAAAAAGGAAATGATTTTTCTGAAATCGCTATTCCGCGGTATACATCGGAACGAGGAACCGGCTGAAATATTTGACACCTAATGCAGCGGTATTTTCAAGATATATTTTCATCTTGACTTATTCAGGAAAACATACAAAGTTTAGTATTTTCGATTAAATTTAAAGAATTAAACACATGGTACAAAAATAGCCAAAAAATCCCTCTTTAAAAAAAACATGGTACTCACGTAGACCTTGTGGTCCAAAATATATAAAGCAAGGGTTCAGACCAACTGCTGACGCAAAACTAACCAATTACTTTAAAATGTATACACATTACTTCAGAGCTTTGATAATATATCTACGCAAACTTGTGTTATTAATTCAATATGAGATCTTGCAGTTAAACAGAGCTTGTTAATCGCTCGTAAACGCAGTTTTTCTAAATACTTCGGAATATGGCGCCAATTTTAGAACTCCTCGGAGTTAGGTGCCTTTACCTTAAGTCAAATCTTCCCAATTTTCATACAGGCTATCCTATTCCTTGAATTAGAAGAAAGAAAAGCTTTGCTGGGGCTTCCATGCTAAAAATCCAATATAAATTCCAATCCCAACATGAACAGAAACAAATCACAATATTAACAGTCCAATTGGGCAGTGAAATAGTCAAAATAATATCAATAAAATGTATTAGAGTTATTTAAGTTCCATAGCTGGGCATAGGCCTCTTTTCATTTCTGTGAGGATTATAAGGGGATTAATACAATACGTTTCTCCAGTTACTGTGTAGTGGGGGAGTAAGAACATCCATTACCTCCTATTATCCCGTGGGTATCGTAAGAGGTGACAACAGAGATAACAACTCAAAGCGATGAAAATGTGGTTGCCAAGCGACTATGGAAAATATTGCTCTTATGAGGCAATCTATAGGGGAGGTCTGTGTTTAGCAGTGGACTTTTGATAGGCCTGATAGGATACAAATTTTTTACCCCCGAAATAGTTATCCATCGATCTTTATTTTCAGGTGTCCCTCTTTCGAAGTTTCCCCACACTTGGGCCGCGGGTGAGCCTGATAATTTCAAGGACGAAGAGAGCTGCATAGCTATGCTCCCGGACGGCAACGTGGCTGACGTGAACTGTCGCGAGCCTCTTCCCTACATCTGTTACAAGGAAAATACTAAAACCATGTCCATGTCTAACTGTGGCACTACGGACTATGGTAAGAAATTTCTTTTAGCGAATCCCTTATGCCGTGTGGAGGCTGCGTATAGGAATCCCTACGTGGTAGAGCTTCGCTGCAGCTATTTTATGTTTTTTTTTAATAGGATAAGGGTGACAAACGAGCACACAGTCCAACTGATGGTAAGTGGTTGCTGTGGCCCATAGACATCTACATCTATCTTCGATTGAGAATCACAATGCAGATGCGTTGTCACCCGTGAGGACTAAGATGGAATGCCTCGTTTCCAGTAAAGGGGGTCTCCGGTTCTGTTCACTCATTACGAAGCACAGCAGCATTAGGCTGCTATTTTACGCTGCTATTCTGTGAGAGCGTGGTCCTTCCCTGGTCGAGCCGACCCATTCGTGCTACAACCGTAATATATATATATATATATATATATATATAAGAGTATCAAATTCGTATCAATTTCGATATATTGTAAAATATTGTATTAATCGATAAAAATTTTAAGCAACCAAAGCAGCTACAAAAGTATTCATTTACAGCCGTTATCGCTTTTTTCGTCGTCTAACCTTGAGTAATAAAATTTATCCTAGTACATCATGCAAAACGTGATGATATATCGATATTTATCACGCGTTATATATATATATATATATATATATATATATATATATATATATATATATATATATATATATATATATATATATATATATATATATAAATATCACTTGTTTTTATATATATATTGTTTAAAAATGTCGATACGATATATTATATCAATATATTTTTCACTGCCCATCCCTACTTTCCGGTCGAGACGATCTAGTCTTGCTACAAACATAATACAGGTGCAGCGCTTGGCTTTGTCGTATAACCAACAGTTTTAAGCCTCAACCGCCTTCGTCTTTCAGAATACGTGTTCGACTCGCGTACAGGCAGCTGCTACAAATTCCACACCGTGCCGCGCACTTGGTCCCGTGCGTACATGACCTGTTCGGCCGAAGGTGGCTACCTAGCCATCATCAACAGCGATACAGAGGCACGACTGATCAAGGAGATATTCGCAAAGCACCCGCCCGGCTCAATACTTGGAAACTTCTTGAAGACGGTAGCCTTCATCGGTTTCCACGATTGGAACGAACACGGCGAATGGTTGACCATTAATGGTAACTTTCTTTCATTTTATATACCTCTCTTTTTAATTCAAAGTTGAATATAGTTGTTTAGTAAAAAGTTTGAACTGGAAATAATAACATAATGGACCCATAATGATCATGGTGTGAAGGCACTTGCAATAGCAAAGATTGTTCAATATTTTCTAATGTATCTATATTATATCAACAGGTTTGTCCTGTGTAGGGAGATGAGACCATGGGAAATACCAGAAAAATTCATTCCTGCACACATTCTCACCTCAACTAGCTATTTATTGCATGCCTTAAGCGTAAAGCGCGTAGGTATGTTCTACTAGCGTCTAAAATAACAATCATATTATAAAAGCACATTGTCGGAAAGATAAATGATTGTTGAACTTATTTTTTTTAAATCGATAAATTGCTATTTTTACAAAAAAGCGGCTTTAGTGGCATGAGGTGTAGATTTATCAAGTTCGTATAGAAACAGAAACAGAAACTTTTTTATTCAATATAGATTATAAATAATACTTATTGAAAGTCACTCTTTTGTTTGATTACCACTGGTTCGGAAAAAACCTCTGTCCTGGGAAGAACCAGCAAGAAACCCAGCGGGACTTTTTTTTAAAAATAACAGCTTACAATCATGTATGTTACACAAATTAACAACACAACAAATTAGAAATAGCTTGGTAGCGATCACCTCATTTCCAGGGGTTATTATCATCCATAAATTCCTTAACATTATAATAACGCTTTATATACAAACTTAGTTTAATAAAGTTTTTGAACTTTGAGCAGGTCAAACTTTGTATATTTTCTGGAATTTTGTTGTAAAAGCGTATACATCGCCCCAAGAATGAATTACTGAATCGATGGAGTCGAGTAACTGGTACTACTAGCTTGTGTCTGTTCCTAGTATTTACAGAATGAATATCACTTGTTTTTGTAAAACTACTTTTATTTTTGTGTACGTACATTACATTTTCATAAATGTATTGAGAGACCAAAGTTAATATATTAATTTCCTTAAATTTTTGTCGTAGCGACTCTTTAGGCTTTAAATCATAAATTGCTCTTATGGCTCTCTTCTGTAAAACAAATATAATTTCAGTGTCAGCTGCGTGTCCAGATAGCAAAATACCATACGACATTATGCTATGGAAATAGCTAAAGTAAACTAGTCGAGCTGTTTCAACACTGGTTAGACTTCTAATCTTTTTTACAGCATATGCTGCAGAATTAAGTCTGCTTGGTGGTATGGTGGCGTAAACACGATAACTTTTGAAAATATCAAATGTTCAACTCAATCTATTTTTAAACTCTTCATCTATCATGTGGGAAGTCATGGAATGTAAATGGCAGTTTTATTTTGTTTTTTTTTTAGTTATAATTAATATTTTTCGGCTGAGAAATAGCGAAATTTTCGAGTTTGTTTTCGAGTTTTTTTTTATTTTCGAGTTGAGAAAGTTTTGAGCAGTCTTGTATTAATTTATTTTACTAAATACACTTTGCTTCACTTCCGGTCACAGAATACTTTTTACTCCGGGCTCAGTCGCCGTCGTAAGTGGTCGTTTGTTTACAGTGGTTCGTGCTGAAAAATATCGATCGCTTCAGAAATACAAAATATTCCAAAAACCAAATTTGATACATACTTGAACAAAGTATGATATTATTATTATTTTACAATCACAGATTTTTATTAAAATATTTTGTTTCGCTAAATGTACGCAGGATTTATGTATAAATATACTTATATATATAAATATCCTTCGATATCTGCTACTGCAACTCCTCGACGAGTGGAACTAGGTGTACCGAGACTGTGCTCGTTATGTTAGTTATCATGAGACTTTACCACGACTTGAAGGTGTACTTCGCTGAATGCTACTGGAACTCCTCGAAGAGTGGTAATAGTAATAGGTGTGCTGAGTTTGGGCTCGTTTTGTTAGTTATGATGAGACTTTACCTCCGGACAGTGGCGGATTATCCTTAAGGCAAACTAGGCACGTGCCTCGGGGCGCAATGTTAAAAAGGCGCGCGTGTCAGTTTTTAAAGGAAAAAAAAAACATCTTATTTGATTACTTCTAAATCGCTCTTTCTCTCTCATCACAATTTTTCACTTATGTCCCCCTGTTAATGGTACTCGTATCCCAATTATTTTGCAATTATTAAACTATATTATAAATTATAATAGTTCATTTGCAAAATGAGTATATTTAATTTATAATAGATATAATATGGCCTAGGGCGCAGTCAACCTCTTCCTTCCTCTCAATTGATTTACAAAAATGTAATGTAAGTATACAAAAATAAATGTAGATTTAAAAAAGTAAGTGATATTCACTCTATAAATACTAAGAACAGACATAAGCTAGTAGTACCAGTTACTCGACTCCCTTTATAGCAAAATCCCAGAAAATATACAAAATTTGACTACCTCAAAGTCTAAAAACTTTTAAATAAAACTAGTTTTACGGATTTTATCGCGTATAGTAACTTATTTTATATTCCCGACGTTTCGAGTACTTTACAGTACTCATGGTCACGGGTGGGGGGACGACGACTGAGATTTGACTGAGATTTTTGAAATCCCAATGTCACAGTTAACCACGGTTACCTACAAATTAAACATTATTAATTTTTGTTCCGGTCTACGCAGTATGAACTTACAGTATCTTGAAGTCTTGGAGTTGTATGCTTGGGTTAGGTTGCTTTGGTTGCTTTTTTCAACTATGACATTGGGACGTCAAACACATCAGTCCACCTCCGTGACCACGGGTGATGTAAAGTACTCGAAACGTCGGGAATATAAAATACATTAAAAAGCGCGATAAAATCCGTAAAACTACTTTTATTTAAATGTGTAGTGTTCGCGTAAATATAAGAAATCGTTGCTTACAAACTTTACTAAACAAAGTTTGTATATAAAAGGTTATTATAATATTAAGGAGTTTATGAATAATAATAAACCTAATGAAAATAAGGTGAGGTGATCATTACCAAGCTGTTTCTAATTTGTCTAGGGTTGTTAATTATGTTACATAATATATGATTGTAAGTTATTTTTTTTCTTTAAAAAAGTTCCGTTGGGTGTCTTTCACTGGTTCTTTCCAGTACAGAGGTTGTTTTCTGAACCAGTATAAATTAAACAAAAGAGTGACTCAATAAGTATTATTTATAACTAGCTGCTCCCCGCGACTTCGCCCGCGTGGAATTCGTTACTTGAATTTTATAGGTTTTAATATTTTTTTGCGCGGAACCCTATCTCCTTTTCTAAAATAAAAGTAGCCTAAGTTACTCCATATAATACCAGCTATCTGCCAGTGTAAGTCCCGTCAAAATCGGTCTAGCCGTTTCGGAGATTAGCCGGAACGAAATGACAGACAGATAGACAAAAATTACAAAATTGTGTTTTTGTTATAAGTACCGTATGTCCTTTCATATGCATTTAGTTAAAAGTTGTTATTTTGACATTACAAACAGACACTTCAATTTTATTTATTTGTGTAGATATATTATATTGAAGAAAAATATTGTTTTCGTTTCAAACAAATACTCAGTACAAAGCGAGAGATCTTTGTGCTGCAGTGGAATATACGGGCTAATGACGGACATTTCTTTTGGATAGATTGAATGACTGGTTTCAACGTTAGAGCACAGAATAAAGTTACGTCTGGCGATTATCAGACCAAGGTACACTCCTCATTAGCAAACTATATGCATATTTAAAAATTTAAAAAGAGATGAGGCCAAATAATTTTAATATTTCTATAGTTAATATAATGTATTTGAAGAAGGTATTTATAAAATAAATGGTTGTAAATACGAATTCTGTGAGAAAAAAACTATCTATGTGGCTGCTTATGCACAGTCTAGCCACTTTGCCTAATAGCCTGTTTTTACTTTGATTAGTGATTAGTGCAGGTGATTAGTGCAGGTACTTAGTGTTTAGGAGTAAACACGTATGAAACGTAAAAAATCGATCATTTTCAGAACACATAAATGTTCTGAAAATGATCGATTTTTTAAATAGATTCGAACTGTAAGCTGATGAATCGATTCCCAAAAAATCGATTTTTAAAATATCTATATTTTTTTCATGTTTGCATTTATAATGTAAATATAAATCCATTTTAAGAGAAAATAAATCCTTTCATCATAAAAAAATAAGAGGGCTGATTGAGAAGGATTTCTGTATCTATTTTGAGGCTGCTACGTCTCCGGCGCTGCGGGAAGAGCAGCCTCTACGCCTTAGCGTAACAAATCGCAGCCATCCCTCCTCGCCTCCGCAGCCTCGGCTTGTTGATTTTTAAATCGGACGGACGTCAATGGAAAGTCGTACCCAGCGATTGATTAGTGCAAGTAATTAATAACCTGTGTAGTCAAGTGATTAGAAGCGTGTTCTATTTTTTTGCGAGTGGACTGCGAGTGTCACGCCCCGCGCGGCCTTCCTTTCCCCTCACTCGCAGCATGCCTGCCACTAAACACGTTTGAACAGCAGTGCTAAGTGTTTAGCGTTTAGCGTCAGACGCTCGGTTCTGTTAAAAAAATGTCCATACTTCCTGGTCGACTGCTAACAACTGAATTTACTAAACACAGCCAGTGGTAGAGCTAAGCGGTAGCTTTTGCTGTCGCACGGATGGGCCAGCTCGAACCGGGGTGGTACCACGACCTCACAGAATACCAGCGTGAAGTAGAGGTTTACCTCTGCGTTGCGCTTGGTGAGTGCAGGTGGCCGGAGGCCCAATCCCCCCCCCCCCCGTCAACATGGTAGTGGAATTAAATAAGAGACTACCCCAGAAGGGTACCAGTACCCCTGGAGAATCCCTCGCTGAGCATCCACGACAACCAAGGCGACCCCTGTCACGCTATCCGTGAATTTTTGCAACATCAGGGGACTTCATTCCAACCTTAACGCTGTCCATTACCATCTAGAGACGGCGAAGCCGGCCTTGCTCTTTTTAACCGAGCCTCAGGTGTCCTCTCCGGCTGATACTTCATATCTCTCCTACCCGGGGTACAAATTGGAACACTCCTTTGTGCCCCGGGCTGGAGTTTGCGTATACGTCAGAGAGGACATCTGTTTTCGACGCCTGGGCAGTCTTGAAGGTACGGACCTGTCCATCCTATGGCTGCGCGTAGACAGCGACGACCATCCCCGCGTCTACGGGTGCCTCTATAGGTCCCATAGCGGTAATGCCGACACAGACCGACTCATCGACCACGTCCAAATAGCTGCAGACTCCGTGCTACAACAGGTCCCATCCGCAGAGATCGTGATACTCGGTGATTTTAACGCCCACCACGCTGAATGGCTTCACGTTTAACCGATCATGCAGGTAGATCTGTCTATGACTTTGCTTTGGCATATGGTCTAACACAACTGGTTACTTCGCCTACGCGGATCCCAGATGTGGAAGACCATGTACCTTCCCTGTTGGACCTTCTGCTGACCTCTCATCCGGACGGATATCAGGTCTCCGTCGAGCCCCTCTGGGCTCTTCGGACCATTGTCTGATCCGGAGTACGGTGCCACTCACGCTCCAATCGCAGTCGCGATCTGCAGCTTGCCGCCGTGTTTGGCACTATAGGTCAGCTGATTGGGACGGGATGCAGTCTTTTTTTGCATACTACCCTTGGGGGCGGGTTTGCTTCTCGCCGGAAGATCCCAGCGTTGTTGCCGATTCTGTTGCTGATGTGGTACTTCAGGGTATGGAACTTTTTATTCCATCCTCTGTGGTGCCGATGGGAGGCAGATCCCAGCCATGGTTTGGTCGCTCCTATAAAATAGCATCACGCTATAAGCAGGAGTGCTACCGGGCCTGGGCTGACGCATCTACGTCTCGGGATGTAAACACCAGCGCACTTAAAAAGAAGTATAATTCCGCCTCCAGGTCCTTCAAAAGCGTCATTGCCAAGGCAAGGTCTGAGCACATCGGCAGAATTGGCGAGAAGCTAGTTCGCCTTCCTTCGGGAACCCGTGCATTCTGGTCTCTCGCCAAGGCTGTCCAATGGAATTTCTGTCAGCCATCTCTTCCATCTCTGCACAGGGAGTACGACTCGCTGGCCCATGCCGCAAAGGAGAAAGCCGATCTGTTGAGCTCTCTTTTTGCGTCCAACTCAACTCTAGATGACGGAGGGAATACACCGCCGACCATCCCGCGATGTGAGTGCTCCATGCCGGATGTGCAATTTACACAGCGCTCGGTTCGCAAAGCACTCTTCTCCCTGGACGTCAGCAAGTCGAGTGGGCCCGATGGAGTCCCTCCCATTGTGCTGAAGACGTGCTCCGGAGTTGGCACCGGTTTTAACGCGTCTTTTCCGGTACTCCTACTCCCAAGGCGTAGTCCCGAATTCATGGAAGACAGCTTTGGTCCACCCGATCCCTAAAAAAGGCGACCGCTCAGACCCGTCCAACTACAGGCCTATTGCCATCACCTCCTTGTTCTCCAAGATAATGGAATCCATTATAAACTGCCAGCTCATGAGGTACCTTGAGGATCACCAGCTGATTAGTGACCGCCAGTACGGTTTTCGTCGAGGTCGATCAGCTGGTGATCTTCTAGTCTATTTGACTCATAGATGGGCGGAGGCAGTAGAGTCCAAGGGGGAGGCATTGGCCGTTAGTTTGGACATAGCGAAGGCCTTCGATCAGGTCTGGCACAAAGCGCTTCTTTCGAAGCTTCCTTCCTATGGGCTTCCCGAGAAATTGTGCAAATGGATCACCAGTTTCCTTGCTGATCGGAGTATCAAGGTCGTAGTAGACGGTGCATGCTCTGATTTCAAGCCTATCAACGCTGGTGTTCCACAAGGCTGCGTGCTTCACCGTGCATCACCAACGCTGTTTCTCCTGCATATCAATGATATGTTGCTAACTGGTAGCATTCATTGCTATGCGGACGACAGCACTGGTGATGCCTTATATACCGGCCGTGCCAATATTTCTCGGGAAAACGTCGCTGAGTACCGGGACAAACTTGTGTCTGAAGTCGAGTCTTTGCTTAACAAAGTCTCGGATTGGGGCCGACTAAATCTAGTCCAGTTCAATCCCCAGAAGACACAAGTTTGCGCGTTTACAGCTAAAAAGAACCCCTTTGTCGTATCTCCTCAGTTTCAAGGCACTCCCTTTGCTGCCTCAGCTAGTATCGGAATCCTTGGCGTCGACATATCGAATAGTGTGCAGTTTCGTGGTCACTTGGAAGGGAAGGCCAAATTGGCCTCTAAAAAGCTTGGCGTGCTCAGCAGAGCGAGACAGTATTACATGCCGGCACATCGCTTGCAACTTTACAAAGCGCAAGTTCGGCCCCACATGGAATACTGTTCTCATCTCTGGGCCGGTGCACCCCAGTGCCAGCTCCTTCCACTTGACCGCATCCAGCGCAGAGCGGTTCGAATCGTCGACGACCGAGTTCTTTCTGATCGGCTCGATACACTGGCACTGCGTAGAGATGTGGCATCTCTTTGCGTATTTTATCGCACCTATCACGGGGAGCGCTCTGAGGAATTGTTTGGACTAATTCCAGCCGCTCAATTTCACCATCGCACATCGCGACAAAACTCGCGTTACCATCCATACCATCTGGATGATTGGCGGTCCACCACTGTGCGATTTAGAAGAAGTTTTCTCCCTCGCACAACTTCTTTGTGGATTCAATTACCACCAGCGAATTTTCCGGACCGATACGACTTAAGTACCTTCAAGAAAAGAGCTTACACCTTTCTAAAAGGCCGGCAACGCATCTGCAATTCCCCTGGTGTTGCAGTTGTTCATGGGCGGCGGTAGTCACTTACCATCAGGTGAGCCGCATGCTCGTTTGCCCCCTCTTCTATAAAAAAAAAAACTAAACATAATTGGACACTACTTACACTATACACCTGCACTAATCAACCGCAATTACTAATCACCTGCACTCGCACTAATCAAAGTGAAAACAGGCCTTAAGTGAGAGCCGAAGACCCGAAGAGTACTATCACTAATGCCACCTAGTGCCTTTGGACTAAATGGAAAGACGTTCTATGAGGCTTATTGGTGATACAAGTATAGTTAGAAACAATGTTACTAGTCTCGAGCACAGGCGCAACGTAGCTAGCCGTTCGGTGTTTTACAGGATACATGTCGGAAAGAGTGCGCAGAAACTGCATAACTTAATTCCTTCCTCTCCTTTCCATCATTGGGCCACAAGACGCTCGGCTGGTCTTTACCTCTTTGTTGTCGTCGTACAACGTATACAAACTAAACATATTTATTTGTCGGTATGTGTCTTTTCATCCGATTACAATGTGGGTGTCTTCAAGGCAAGTGGACAGGCTTTTGTTAGGCTAACTCAGTGCGCTGAATCTTCTTCAGCTGAATCACCGCTTACTATCAGGTGAACTCCGTTGACTCAGCATTCACAATGTATGAAGATCTGTGTTAATAAAATTTCAATTTCTAAGAAAACCCTAATCTTTTTATTAGGTGAAACGCTCAATAAAGCTGGATACGCCAAGTTCTCAGGGCCTGACAACGCAACAACTGGAGAGTTTTGCGGTGGCGTGTACCGATCGTCGCTCCTTGATGACATCTGGTGTGAAAACAAATGCAACTTCATTTGCGAGAAGAGCCCAGACAGTTTACTCTGCGAAAATAAAGTGTAGAATGTAAATGCCCATTTGTTATGTAAAATCGATTGTGTTGCCAGTATATAAATGTATGCCGGTAGATTTTATGTGAGTAATCTTAATAAATAATAAATACACATTTTACTTTTTAGATGCTTTATTTATTTGAAATTTAAAAAGGATAATACAGTATTTCATAAGAGAATCAAGTTAAAATAATGTTTACATTTTTTATGAGTGACAATCAAGAACATATCACATAGTCCACCTGTGGTCAATACCAAACGCATACATCTATCCTTGGCTGCCTCGTTAGTTTAGTGGTCGTAAACGCGGTTGCTAATCAGTAGATACTGTGTTCGAATCCCGGGTCGGGTCAGAATCAGTTATTGGGTTTTGCTCACAAGGAATCCTCAGTAGCAGCCTGGAGAAGTTGGCGGTGTTTTACCCCCCGTGCTTTCGGAAAGCACGTAAAACCGTAGGTTCTGCGCCTGATCTCCCTCCGGTCGTGTCGAATCAGGTCGTGTCGGACCGTCCCATCAGCATCGTCTGATAGATAGAATGAAGGAATGGCATGGAGCACCTATGCGTCTGTGTTTACGCTCTCTATAACCTTTTCCGAGGTCTTGAGAAGAAAGAAAGATAGTGTTATACGTCTAAAGGACTTTGGTAAAGCGTAGTTCATTCTACCAGCCTTAGGTATAAATAGAACTTTGACAATTGTCCATGGAACTAGAATATATCCCCATGCAAAACTTACTTTCAAGATTTTCACCAGATGAGGAAGAAGGGTGTCGATACCCCTGTGTAGTTGGATGAGAATTATTAATTCCCATTCAACAAACAATCGCATTTTTTATTATTTTGAGCAGTCATTCCGTTTATCCACCCTAATAAATCCACCCTAGCGTGGATACTAGAAAACACGTGTTTTTCTATCGAAATTCTAATCGAAATTCACTTTTGATTGATCTTCCGACATACTCCAAGTACAGTTTAACAATAAATATATCCATACACTTTGATTATTAATAAATTTTTAATAAACACAAATTTAATCTGGGGGCACAGCAGTGCCCCCGCCAAGTCGAGCAAAAAAGCGGCACGGCCGTACCATCCTTTTCTCGAAGCAGTTCAGGCCATTTTCGAAACCCTATAACTTCATTGTGGATAAAACTAGAAGCCTGAATTTTCACTACCAATTAGGAAGAGAGACACTAATCTCACAACTTTTTACGGTAGAAGAACTGAGTTGCGAGACTTGGCTTTTTTTACAAGTTATGTTTTTGAAGGCATCATATTTTACGTATTGCATTTAAATCAAATGAAACCTCTTCGTTTTAAATAATGTTATTGTTTATAAAATTTGCAATACGTTCAGGAAATTACCAACACTAATTTCATTATTGAGTAGGAGTACTCTTATATCCAGTTTAAATTTGTATCTTTTAATGTACATTTGCAATAGTTTTCTAAATTTCTTTGTGTCATCGAAAAAGTGAGCGTTTTATTGCAAGCGTTCCAAAAACTTTATTTGTCTTTAACTTCATTTGAAATTGTTTTTTTTTGCCAAGATTCCAATGAGTTTGTAATCCTATGAGAGGCAATCTTTTCATTTCATTTTTATAGGTATGCTAATGTCTACTAAGTAACTTGGGTCAGTTTTTATCATGTTTCTATAAATGACTGTACGCAGCCAAAGGGAGAGAATCGGAAGAAAAATAATACACGATAGATGAACACGCTTTTTCGTGTGTTCACCCAATGGTGGATATTTTAGGCTGGACAAACGGAATAATCGATTTTTAGCTGTTATGAGGAAGATCTTTTGTTTCAGTTTCCCTCTGTCGGCCCTCTGTCCCTCTTACTACACCCACGGGACGATATGGTACGGTATGGGAATTGGGATGGTACGATATGTAATAAAACATTGACAATATAAATTTATTAAATATTGATAAATAATCAATATACGCCTTCTACAAACTTGCCATTTGTAAAGGAAATTTTAAACCGGTTATTTTTCAACAGTATAGACTAATCACTCGGCTCGGTTCCTTTATTTGGAAATGTTGCTACGTTTTCTTTTAAACTTTTGACCTGTAAAGAGTTTTTCATTAGATTTAGTTATTTATTCATACATATTTTTATATAAAAAGTAGTACATATGAAGGATTTTAAATCCAAATGTCATTATCTACCAGTCAACCATTAGGCAAAGTAAAGATAAACATATAAGAGGCAGTGTAGCAAAAATCAAAAAAGGAAAGGATATGTCGTTGTATAAATTTTTTTTCTTTTTTTAATTTTGCTGCTGTTGTTATTTGTAGGCGATATATTGACATAATTATATAAATAATATTATAAAACATGTGACGAAAGAAACTGTGATTCCCGTTAAGTACTTTATCAGAATCAGTATTCTTCAGAAAACTTTACCAAAAAAAAATTAAATTAAATCAATTAAATTTTTATTTGCTTGATACCCTTAGTCTCCGGCTAATGCAGAGGTCATAAAACCACATAGAATTTGCAAATAAAACTTTACTTAGTTTTTTTTTTTATAGTTGAGTTTTCTGAATTTATTTTTATACGTTTAAATACCAATTCTGATAACGCACTTGACGGGAACCACATGATTTTGTTAAATTTTGTATATGTATATATAATTACGTCAAGTTATTTCACAAATGCTTATAATATCTACTTTAATACAACATCATCATCGTTACATTCATCTGCTTACGACGAAACTTTGGTGAGATAATTTGCGCGCGCCCGTGAATACTTCTGACAATAATTTTCACGTAGTAGCTTCAAGATTCGATGTTAAAACAATGTATTCAAGATAATACCGCGAACAAACTATTATATAAAAAGAAAATACGTTTTCATTTTTGTTGCAAGCACGTTTTTCTAGTGCTTTTTATCCGGTTTTTTTCGGTCCAAGGCCGGTGGCTTCTGAACTTTGTGTCCAGTATCAAATATTTAATAAGTTTTACAACAAAAATCTACAGTTTAATATTCATCAGTGTTCATATAGGAACCAAATTCAGAATCCACTGGGCGTCTGGTTGTTGAGGCAGAAAAATGAAAAAAAAATAACTAGTTTATAATATTTAATACCTGAAGTTCAAAATGGGTATTAATGTACTCCCAAACAGCGCAGCATTTCCTTTGAACAAGGTCGTTGTCCAAATCTTCTACTGGAGTAAAGTCTATAACAATGCGCTGGCCTTGCATAGGTTCTCCACATGTACTATCACCGAAGGAGCTATATCTATCGTCCGTTGATGAACTCATTTTTCTACTGTTAAAAGATTGATATTTAAGTTATTAGTATAATGTTCTAATAATATACATTACCTACTTGGCTTAAAAAGGCTAACATTTGTCTTGATTTTTAACCATTTCATGAAGAAACAGACTTACCTACGTACTTGTTGATTATTAAAATTAAGTAGGTAATTTTGGTTTAATGATAATTTATATAATTATAATTTAAATGCAGCGAAATAGGTAAGTAGCAATCTGACAAGTCGTAATTATTTTATAGATAGTTATAGTTATATCATTTATGTCATCTAGTTTTTTTTTTAATGAACGAAGGTAGTATAACATCACAGCTGCCAGTCTTATACACAGACTAACTAGTAGATTCTACAGCCTTATATCCAATTTTGATGCGTACCTTGTATATATAGAGGTCAGTGCTGCGTACCAAGTGAACTGATAGACAAAGAGTATATAATCACTTAGCTGGTAGGAACTAATGATAATCGCTCATCATTTTGGCCCTACATGAACTGCAATCGATTGTGGCGTTTCTATATAGAGTGAACTAGTACGATTTATAAATCGTGTTACTGTATAGACAACACTATTAAAAAAACCTAAATGAAAATAAAGTATAGTAGTTTAAAAAATTAAATTGAAAAATTAACTTTAATTATTAAAAGTAATAAGATCTGAAAATCGGAGAATCAGAATGAGAACAATTTACAATGTTATCGATTTTTCATTAATTAATTCACCGTTTAGCGGCGGTGTAAGAATATCCACTACCCCATATCGTCCCGTGGGTGTTGTAACAGGCAACAGAGTGAAACTGAAACATGAAATAGGCAGCAGCATCTTCCTGATAACAACTGGAAGTAATAAAGAGCTGTGGTTGCCAACCCGCCTGCCAGGTGTAGCAATTATGGAAAAATCTTCCCTATGAGATCTATGGGCTCTTCCATGTTCAGCAGCGGGCTTTTATAGGCTGAAATGGATGGATGTATTAATTTTTCACTATAACTTTACATCATATTTAATATCTGACCATGTGGTGGCAGTGAAAGAATATTAATTATTCTATATGACCATGCAATGGGTATCGTAAAATGCGATAGAGGGAAACAAACCAGGGGATAGGCATTAAAGTAGTATGTACATTGTGTGTATAATATGTATTAAAGTAATATGTAGAGCGTGATCGGGGGCACAGAGTACTTTTTTATATATCACAGACTTTGCAGCAAGTTTGAGCCCATGGCCTATAACGCGTGTTGCATCACTGTCTTTAAAAGAACCGCTAGTACGACTAGATGTACTTTTTTCTTTACTGCAATATCTATTCGTACCTAATTATCTTACCGTAACGTGTTTTAATTCCGGTCATACTTTCTCTTACTTATACTGAAAACCATGGTTGATGCATTCACCAAACTTCTACCATTTCCTTTCTCCTCAACTTCTATTTCTTTTTAATTATTACGAACGAATTTTCTTACAAGGAAAGGATGTGTTTGAAACAACACAGTCTCTTTCCGAACATACTCTAAGAAGACTTTCGCCATTATCATTCATGCATTAGTCACCAATCTAAAATTCAACACCACTATCTCCTAGCATAACATTTTTCCTTATTACATTTCTCATTAGTATTTCCTATTAATCATCTTGGATATCTATGAGCGGATATTGATATATCTGTAGCGTAAACCCCAGAACCGAAAACTTCTTTAAACTCACTTTATTTCGTACCCATACCAGCCTCGGACAGACATTCGTAATCTATTCACACCCATTGTTTCTAAAAGGATAGTACCAACTCCCTGCTCCGCTCACCCTCATCTACCCGACTCGTAAGCAGTATACATACCATGTGTAGTGGCATTGTTTTCCCTTTGTCATGTCTTATTAACTCTTAGAACATCTATTCCTCTATCACATATTGTGCTAAACTAAAAAAAAAAAAGTTCTAAAAAAAAAGTTTTGTAAAAGACGTACGGGCCATTTATAACTTAAATTGTAAAGAGTCCCTAAGAGAAATAATTTAAGAAATAAACATTACGTTATAATTATGAAAATGTAATAAATGTAGATAAAAACGCAAATAGCTTTGATAAGATAAGGTGTTCATACTTTAAACACTAGGAAAACATAAACTTGTCTTATACAAGCACTACGAGGTAAATTTTTTGTTTGTTTTAATAAATTTTTAAGAAATTATTAATTCCGATTGTTATATACAATTTAAAGTAAAAAAATATGTCATATAAAATTAAAGTAACAAGGCAGACTCGTTCGCTCAACTGGGAGTTTCATGCATAAATGAGATTGTCGCGACGGTGGCGCTTGCGGAGATGCAAGTAAACCTAATTTGCTGCTCCCCGTCCAATAATTATAGGAAATTGATGGGAGCTCAACGCCAGTTGCCTTCCTAGTTTGTGAGAACAAATTTCGTTAACGCTATAATTTTCCTTCTGGGCCAAGTTCAGATAATATAAATTCAAATTCACTCTATAACTATGAACGCGAAATAAGTTTAATTTACTATTTATTGCATACTTTAAGCGCGAAGCACGTAGATATGATCTACTAGCATCTAAAAATCAAGATTCCAACGTTTTGTTGCATAAAATCGTATCTAACAATCATATTGAACATATAAATTATATAAAAAGCAAATTTTCAGAAAGATAAATGATTGTTGAATTTATTAATAGATATTTCTTTTAATCGATTTATTGCTATTTTTACATAAAAAGTGGTTTTAGTGGTTTATAGTGTAGATTTACCAAGTCCGCATGATTTCTCATTTAGAGATTTCTCAATCTATTTTTTAATCTTTTCTTCTATCATGTGGGAAGCCATGAAATGTAAATGGCAGTTTAATTTTGTTTTGTTTAGTTATATGTAATTAATATTTTCGGCTGCAAAACTCGAAATTTTCGGTGTTTTAGCAGCCTTGTATTAATTTATTTTACTAAATATACTTTGCTCGGCCTTACTATGCGCTCGGCCGCCGTCGTGAGTGGATTGCTATATATCGTTTGCGTCAGCAGTGGTAATAGACAGCAAAAATATCATATCGCTGTAGAAATACAAAATATTCCAAAAACCAAATTTGATACCAAGTATGTACCAAGGTTATTTTTTTATAATCACAGATTTTTATTATAATAGTTTAGGGGTTTAATTTTGTTGCCCGGATCCCTAATTATTTTTCAAAAATATAAGTAGCCTAAGTTACTCCTTATAACATGAGCTATCTACCAGTGTCCAGTCTATCCCGTCAAAATCGGTCCAGCCGTTTCGGAGATTAGCCGAAAAAAAAACAAACAGACAGACGGACAGGCAGACAGACAAAAATTTTAAAAATTGTGTTTTTGTTATAGGTACCGTATATACTTTTATATGCAACTAGTAAAAAGCTGTTATTTTGACATTACAAAGAGACACTTCATTTTTATTTATTTGTATAGATTTTGTCGCTAAAAGTACTTAGGATTTATATATAAATATACTTATACGTACCGGCTGGCGAAGTGTAGGGCGTCCCCACACTAGATGGAGTGACGACATGGCAAGATGGTGAGAGTAAATGCAGGTGGCTCGTGACCATGCTTTGTGGCATTCCTTGGAGGAGGCCTATGTTTAGCAGTGGACTAGTGAAGGGCTGTAATGATGATGACGATGAATCTTCACGATCGTGATGATGAATTGTTACGATTAGCTGGCATACTGACGATCCCAGTACCAATATAAAGAAAAAGCTACTGTTAAATGCAATTGTGCATGCCTGCATGTCTTACCAGGTTGTCACTCCATCTAGTAGCGGTCTTCTTACACATACTCTTTTGGAATAAATAAAATATTAAATTTATTTATTCCAAAACCTCTAATAATATTAAACTGACTAGATAGACTTCTTCGTTGATTTAGGCTTTCTTCCTTAAAGAACGACTTTGCAAGTGTATGAGAGAAAAGTAAGCTATTAACTAACTTTTAAAATATGCAGCAGCCATCTTACACTTACTATGTGTTCCCGTCGAATAGACAATGTTGGATGAGGACTATATCCAATGATTTTATATAAATGATTTATTCTTTTATTAACTTTTTAAATATCAACTAACAAAAACAAACTGTACGTTTACTAAGATATAATTTTTATAGAATAAAGGTAACAAACGGTTATACCGTGTATCCGATGGTAAGTGGATGTTGTGATTCATAAAAACCATTATCTATCCTCAAGTATGAATCGAAATTTAGATGCGTTGTTATCCCTGACGACTATTGGTGCTCCCATGTTGCCGTTAGAAAATGTTTAGTAACGTTAGTAAACATTTGTTGGCAAACATTTAATCACAAATGTTAAAAAATGTTTTCATGTTAGAAAATGTTTAGTAACGTTAAGTTAACAAATTAAAACAAAATAAAACATGTGTTACCTTTTGTTTGTAAACCTTTTAGAAAGGTGACGGCGGGGTATGCGGTGAGTCGAGGATGCGGGGGGGGGGGGGGGGTTAGAGTATGCCGGTCGCTGCGCGCTATGTCTGGTGTCTTGTCACTCTCTTTGTTTAATTAAGCGTGCGTCGCTGTGATATATGGATGTAAAGGAGACGAGAGAGTTGTGTCAGAATCGCGCCAAATGGAAGTCCGTAGTCTCTGTCTACCCCTCTGGGTGACAGGCGTGAGTGTTTGTGTTGTGTTGTATGTGTTATAGAAAGATGTTTATGCCAATAACCGAAAAATAAAGGCACAGGCCAGTAAAAAAGTACAAGAAATAAAATATGTCAGGTTATAATTGGAATAACGAAGATGTTTACAAATTGATTGAAATGTTTCAAGCAAGAGAAGTACTGTGGAACACGTTATCAGAGGACTACAAAAACCGAAATAAGAAACACGATGCTTGGATGGAAATTGCAAGTGAATTTAATTTGGATAAAAAAGTAATTGAAAAAAAGATTCAATCACTCGTAGGCCAATTTAACCGAGAATGTAAATCTAAATCTGGTGCAGGAGCTGATGAATTAAGTAAATGGTTTGCATTTAAAAAACTCATGTTCCTTAAGGGTTCCTAAAAACTATCCCAAGTTCAAATGTGAATGAAGGGTTGCAGGTGAGTTTTATTTTAACGTCTTTTAATAGTATTTAGATGCCCAGTCCAATAACCCTTCATTTGAAAAATATTCAGCGAATTCTTTTCTTATTTCTCTCCCATCATCTGCCTGGGATTCACATGCTTCAAGTGGTGTTAATTACTGCTGTTCTAATCTCCATTGTCCATCGATACGTGTACCAGTTATTTCGTCTTCGCTATCATAGTATTGAGATGGAGCGTAAATCATGCTCGATCCTGTTTTTCTTAGAAAATTATGCAGTAACACGCATGTCATAATTAAAGTAGTAGTTTTTTCTGGATCTAATGATATTGTAGCTCGTAAAACTCTAAATCTGGCGGACAAAATACCAAATGCGTTCTCTACTGTTCTCCTCGCACGACTCAGTCTATAACTGAAGATTCTTTCTTTAGAATTGCTATCCTGTGGTCCTGAAAAAGGTTTTAACAAGTGTTTTTCTAACGGGAACGCACCATCTGTTACGAACACATAAGGAACAGGTTTGTTTCAGACTAATAGTGAGCTGTCATTGGGTATTTTTAAACTATTGTCGTTAATTTTATTTCGAAATTTTGTGTTTGCGAAAACTCCACCATCACTTATGCGTCCTTGGCAGCCAATATTCACATATAAAAAGTTATATTCTGCGTCCACTAGCGCTAAAAGTACAACGCTGTAAAATCCTTTATAATTGTAATATTCACTGCCGCTATCAATTGGATTTTGTATGGCTACGTGCTTTCCATCGATACTTCCTAAACAATTTGGAGAATTCCATTTTTTTTAAATGTATTTGCCACGTGTAGCCACTCTTGAGGTATTGTTGGTATCTGGAACAAAAACAGAAGATCAAGTAACTTGAAGTTATCGTTTACTTCTATTCTTTCAGAGTAACGAAAAAAATGGGTAACAAAAAACAGAAGTGATTCAGAAAACACTCTCAGTTTAATCGAAACTGAAAATACTGTCACTGTAAACGAAACTACGGGCACGCTTTTCGCCACGCCAAAACCATTTCGCAAAAGAAGACTACCAGTTGAAAAAGATACAACACAACAAGAAGCTGTAAAGATTTTACAAATCATGTACGAAAATAGAAAGAGCAGGGATGAAAGTGACGCATTTGGAGAGTATGTCTCTATGAAACTGAAACAAATAAAAAACAGTTATGCTAGGAATACTGCTCAACATCACATTAACAATATTTTGTACAATGCATCAATAGGACAATATGATTTCCCTACAAACCCAACTGCTAGTAGTTCCTGGGGATACAACTCTGTACCAAATCTATCCACTTTTTTGGAAAATAATGCTGTCTGTAGTATCTCAGCTGCATTTGAAACCTGTTCTTCGGATAGCTCCAGGGCACCGAAGAGAAGAACACCGAGTCCGTCTAATTTATCGGAATCAAGCCAAGATTCGACCCAATCATTAAACGATTTGTTGGGATCAATCCAAAATTAAAAAATACATGTTGGATTTATTGATTATTAAAAATTTCATCAGCAAGGTGAATATCAGTAAAGTATTATTTGTCTCAATTGTGTGCAAAAAAAATAAGCTCGTGTTGCATTTTTTGTTAATATATGTTTGTAAAGACACAATTTATTTTTGTTAATGTGTGTGTTTTTTTCCAACGTAGTAGTTACCCACCCTCGCACCACAACTGTCAGAAAGTTTTGTTAGATCATATTAAAAGTAATCAAAAATAAAAATAAATAAAAATGTTCTTTGACTTACCTGTATGTATTCTTGTAAAACCTCATTGAGAGCCTCGCACACTTCTGGCATGATTATAGATATCACTTGGTCTGACAACTTGAACACATTTCCAAGACTTTTATAACTGCTACCAGTTGACAAAAATCTTAACGTTACCGCAAATCTTTCCGTCACACTTACAGATTTTCTAAAATTAGTGTCTCGTTTGCCTATTTTTACCCCAACTAAATTTTGTAGATATTCAAATTCGGAACTGTTCATTCTTATAAAATCTTTTAAGCAACCATCAATGCCCAAATCCTTGAGATAGTCTGTGGCACTATATTTTCCTCTAGCTTTTAGCGTTTCGCGCATCCAGTAAGAGCGCTTTTTCTTCTTTTTTAAACAAAAAATTAAAGCTATTCCAATGAGCAAATCCTCTTCCATTTTCGTGTAGACGCTCTCAGAACGCAAACAAACTGCGAGCCAATACCAGATTTTAAATGTTATAAAATGTTAGTAAACATTAGTAAACATTTTCTATTAGTGTAGGAGCACTTATAACATGTAAAAGTTCCTAACAAAATGTAACAATTGACAACATTTGTGAGTAAACGTTTTTATGTTAGAAAATGTTTACAAACATTTTTTAACGGCAATGTGGGAGCACCATAAGGCATATTGGCCTCGTTACCAGTAAAAGGGTCTTCGGTTCAGCAGTTGTAAACTGCTGTTGTACGCTGGTATTCTATGAAAACGTGGTAATTCCCCGGTTGTGCCCACTCTTTTATGTTGCAATCAAAACGGGACAAAACCATTTATTGAATTTTAATCCATATTTTTATATTATCATATACTATAATCTTGTAGAAATTAACTTATCTGTATATATTTATAGAAAATGTCATATACGATACGCACGACGGATTTTTTCCTATATCGAGACCCTCACATACCAGATTTACACAGTTGTACTCCCTACTTGCCTTGCCAGCTCGCACTCGACGAAACATTCATTTGGAAGTAGTGACGTATACCAACATTCACGAGATATATCATTTTTACGGTCATACGCAAACTCAAAGCAGGTATACATATATACTGCACTTATTGAGTTGGGCAATTATTTTCATGTTTAACAAAAACAAGTCTCCATTACGATTGTGTAGGTACTACACGTGTTGTTGGATCAGACGCTAGCTCTCAAGCTCAACTTAATGGACAAATTTATGAAAGCGAATATAGCGAGCTCAATTCCTTTTTGCGTTCGTTTTCAGAAACGAAGAGGATTTCACTTGTAGACTCTTTTTACATAGACAAAGGGTGACAAACTAGCACACAGACTACCTTTTGGTAAGTAGATGCTATGGCCCGTATTAAGAATCTAAATGCAGATGCAGTGCGTTGTCACCCCTGAGGACTAAGACGGAATGTTTCGTTTCCAGTATAAAGGATCTCTGGTTGTCTGCACTCAACATACTAACCACAGCAAAATTTATTTATTTATTTATTATATGGAAAACAAAACAGATAACAATTAAAATACATTAAAATATAATATAAATATAACAGTTTTGTGCCAGATTGTTATTAAATAATAATAATATCTTACTTTGGTCAAGATTATTGTTAAGCTGCTATTTTACGCTAGTATTCTGTGAGATAGCTATATCATAATATAGCTGCAGCGTGGCTCTACCACGTAAGTTGGCTGAGATTGGCGTTGGAGATGACAAATAGACGTATATTTGGGTCTGTCACATTAACCAGTTTGTCCTTTTTATTTTTACTAACTAGCTAACCGCCTCGGCTTTGCTTGGGTAGAATCTAGAATGTGGCGTTATTTAGTTTTAAGATAATCATCGAACGCCATTTATTTTATAAATTATCCAATTTCTAAAAAAATATCACCAAGTTTGTTTGGTAAAATATAATTTAAATCACTCCTGCTGTTGCGCTCTATATGTTCGTGAAGTTTCATTATAATTGGTTCAGTCATTTCGAAGATTAGCCTGGACAGAAACATAGACAAAAAAATTTAAATAATTATTGAAATCTTAATGGCATACAAATAACCCCTTCAGCTCAATAAAAAGCAGTTATTTTAATAACAGCATTTCAATTTTATTTATATGTATTGATCTGTGGTATTGATCGTCTCCGGCTTCGTCTGGGTAGAATCTAAAAATGTGGCAATTTCGTTTTTTTTTTAATAATCTCTTATGTTTTTCAGACAACATGTTTTGATCTAGTCCTAGATCACTCCTGGCATTCCTTTAATCTGTTCATGAAATTTAATTACAATCAATTTAGTCATTCCGAAGATTAGCCCGGTCGGACAGACAGGAAATCAGACAACATTTTTAAAAATGGTTATTCGTGTCTTAATGACATGCAAAAACCCCTTCGGCTTAATAAAAGGCAATTATTTTTATTACAGAAAGACACTCTTGTTTATATCTATAGATGAAGACAGAATATTTGTAATTTATTGCATGCCTTAAGCGCAAAGCGAGTAGGTATGTTCTACCAGCGCCTAAAAGTCAAGATTCCAACGTTTTGTCGCATGAAATCGTATCTAAAATCATATTGAACATATAAATGACATAAAAAGCACATTGTCAGAAAGATAAATGATTGCTGAACTTATTATTCTTTTTTTTTAAATCGATCAATTGCTGTTATTACCTAAAAAAGCGGTTTTAGTGGCTTATGGTGTGGATTTATCAAGTTCGCATGGCGGTGAAAACACGACAACTTTTGAAAATATAAATTGTTCAACCTATCGTGTGTAAAGTGGAAGCGGCCACAGAGTAGATACTTTTTTACTCTGGGCTCAGCCGCCGTCGTGAGTAGTCGTTTGTTTACAGCGGTTCGTGCTGAAAAATATCGATCACTTTAGAAATACAAAATATTCCAAAAACCAAATTTGATACATACTTGACCAAAGTAAGTGTTACGGCCTACAGCTGCCTAAATAAGAGTAGAATCTTCCAGGCCCATAGCGGAAGACCTTACAAGCAGATGCAGGTCGGGCCTCAGCAAGGGGCCGGGTGGAAAGTCTCTAATTACAATAAACAATAAGGGGGAGCGTTCTATACTACTGCCATTCAACAGGGAGAATATTAAACCGAGTTTACTTACCTATATCTAAGGCGACTGGTCCTGACTGACGTCAATCCCGAAGTCAGCGTTCGGGCGTAAACAGTAAGATATTATTATTATTTTTATAATAACAGATTTTTATTACAATATTTTGTTTAGCTAAAAGTACGCAAAATTTAAAAGTATGCCGTGTAGTGGCGGTTAAGAATATCCAATACCCCATATCTTACCATAGGTGTCGTAAAAGGCGACAAAGGGAAACAGGCAGGAGATGGTCAGCAGCATCTTTCTGATAACAGCAAAAATACAAAAAAAAAACTACGGCTGCCAACCTGCTCGCCAAGCGTGGCAACTATGGCAAATATCCCCCAAATGGATAAAGTTACAAAGAGACGGCCCCCAGTCCCCTGCGGCCCCGCTATTCCTGGCTACGGTGGCGACCATGGTAACGGCGGGGCAGGGGGTGCTAAGAATCTCCGGTGGAGGTTCGGTTGCCACCTACGACGACTCGACCTGGCAACATACAACGCACGCACCCTGAGGACTGACGAGAAGATTGTGGAGCTGGAGATAGACAAGTTACGCTGGCATATTATAGGATTATCCAAAGTCCGAAGAGAAGGGGAGGAAACGGTAATCCTCGAATCCGGCAATTTGCTCTATTACCGGGAAGGCGACCATCTGTCCCAAGGAGGTATCGGATTTATCGTCCACAAGTCTCTCGTTAACAATGTTGTAAAGATTGAGAGTGTGTCGACGAGGGTTGCGTACCTTATACTCAGAATCACCAAAAGGTATTCGCTGAAGGTCATACAGGTTTACGCACCAACGTTGGCACACCCCGATGAGGAGGTGGAGGAAATGTATGAGGATATATCTAGAGCCATGCATTCCTCCAAAACCCAATATACGGTGTAAATGGGAGACTTCAATGCAAAACTAGGTACAAGAGAGAATGGTGAGCTGAAAGTAGGGAAATTTGGAATAGGGCAACGGAACCCAAGGGGCCATCAGCTGCCCGACTTCATGGAGAAAGAGGGACTCTTTATGATGAACTCTTTCTTCCAGAAGCGGCCCCACAGGAAGTGGACCTGGTCGAGCCCCGACGGTTCGACAAAAAATGAGATTGACTTCATTATGACGACCAGACGACAACTGTTCAGTGATGTCTCAGTGATCGCGAGGGTGAAAACCGGCAGCGATCACCGAATGGTTAGAGGCACACTGAACCTAAACGTTAAGTTGGAGAGGTCTCGTCTAATAAAGTCAACGCTCCGTCCCCCTCGTGCTCTAATCCAAAGTCCCGAAACCTTTCAGCTCGACTTAAAAAACCGTTTTCAGTGCCTAGAAGACTGCAATCAAGTGGACGATATGAATGACAAGCTCGTGGAAACTGTCCATGCGGTCGGAGCTAAGTTCTGCAAGACCGGCCGCAAGGAACACAAAAACTCTCCGATCACACTCTTAATCTCATGGCTGTTAGACGGGAGATGAAGCTACATTCTTCAACAGACTTGACAGCATACAGGCAACTGAACAGACAGATCTCCAAATGCATGCGGCGGGACTTACGCAACTTCAATACAGCTCGTATTGAAGTAGCGATCGGGCGGAACCAAGGCTCCAAAGTCTTTGCCAGAGATGTGTCTGCTAGAAAGAGCCAACTGTCAAAGCTGAAGACAGAATGTGGCAGCATCGTTTCCGGGGCACCTGAGATTTTGAGTGAGATTGAGAGGTTCTATGGGCAGCTGTACACGTCATCGTTGGAGCCGCACGCAAGTGTGAGTAACGATCCAAGAGCGAGTCTTATCCGACATTATTCCGATGATATCCCGGATGTCAGTCTGAGCGAGATTAGAATGGCTCTCCAGTACCTTAAAAACGGCAAAGCCCCAGGCGAGGATGGAATTACAGCGGAGCTTCTGAAAGCGGGTGGAAAACTGGTACTTGAAGTCCTTCAGAAGCTCTTTAATTCCGTCCTCCATGGTGGCATTACACCGGAGGCATGGAGCAGAAGTACGGTGGTCTTGTTCTTCAAGAAAGGCGACAACGCTCTCTTGAAGAACTACAGACCGATTTCCCTTCTGAGCCGCGTCTACGTGCTGTTTTCGAGAGTCATTACGAATCGTCCCGCGCGCAGACTTCCAGCCTCCCGAACAAGCCGGTTTCCGAAAGGGCTTTAGCACCATAGACCACATACATACCCTTCGGCAAATTGTACAGAAGTCCGAAGAGTACAATTTGCCACTATGTCTGGCGTATGTGGACTATGAGAAAGCCTTTGATTCCGTCGAAATTTGGGCGGTGCTGCAGTCCCTTCAGCGATGCCAAGTTGACTGTCG